CCACCACCACCACCACCACCGCTATCAGTTCCATGAAAGTCTCCAAAAACCAAACACATGCAACCCACTTGCCAGGATGCCAAGCGCAGAAGCATGGTCTGTGCGTGCCTCCATACATGGTGCGCCCTCCTCTGCCAGTGTTGTGCCAAAGCCTGTTCCAGGTTCAGCTGGGGTTGCATGTGTGTAGCTCCCCAACAGCTTTGCTCAAGGTGGTGCTGACAGCTAGCTTTCCGGAAGTGCCAGGGGATATACGCAATGGATCATGAGTCCCTTGTTGTCAATCTTGCCCAGCTACGAGCACCCAAGGTGCGCCCAAGCATAGGCAACATGTTTGTTTGATGCACTAGATCTGAATTGTAGTGTTGCGCTGGAAACCTAGGTTTTCATTGCCACAGCCGGAAACCTATAGTACTGCAGTTCATGGTTAGAGTAGCCTGTCCCAGACTTTGTGTCCTAGGTGCTGTTACTCCAGTGGATGAGTAATCTTGAGATTTCTGCGAAATATCATTTCTTCGATTTATTTTCTGGAGAAGGAGCTGTCTCTCAGCTATGGCCTCTAGCTCGCAAATAATGGGTGTGTGATTATAAATACGATAGATCCCCAGGGTGTCCACTGCCCACCTGAGGTCGGAGAATGGATATACCACGGCATCCTTTGACAAGCTCTACGGCACCCCGATGGATTTTCTTTCGAGTGGAGGATTTTCGAATCTAGGCTGAACCATCGCAATTGCATGCAATCCCTGAGAATCGCATGTGAGAATGTTATGTGCTTTCAGGGTGGCAATGTACGTGGTACTTTGCGAATTCCCGGACGCCCTGAACCTCATCGGACCTGATTGCAGTTCATGGACAATTCCTGCAAGAGGCACAAGCCTTCGTTCCACAATCAACCCTTGGGGGCGACAAGGCATCGACTTTGTAGGCGAGAACAATGCCCTTTGCTCTCGGTGCTTTGTTTGCAGTTTACTTGCACCTTACGCTTATCAAATTGGGCCTGACAATTTGGTGACATCTGGGGCTGTTTTGATTTCATCTGGGTCTGGTAATAT